CTAATACTTTACGTAATAGTACTACCTAACTAAATAAGTACTTATTAGTCGAGACTATATATACATATATAGTCTGCATATATATAGTGTGTGTATAGTATATATATATATATATATATATATATACACATGGGTCCACTGGAATATATTTTGATTATCTATTTCAATATTCGAGATCTACTTGTCTATAAATGTAGATCAGTGACATATAAGCAGTGCTTTTATTTTTTCTTCATAATTGACCTCTCTTGTTCTGTAAAAAGATGACCTGAATTATTTTTTCTTTTATTGGTTAAATAACTGAGGTCTACTTGTTTGTGAGTGTAAGTCAGTGACAAGTTCATCTCAGTACTTTTTTATTATATAGCTGAACTCATTTTGACTACATGAAAACAGTAACATGACAACCTGAATGTTTTATAACAGAGTATTATAATAACTGAGCTTTTCCTTTTGTTTATGAATATAGGCCAATGACTTATTCACTTCAGTATTTTCTGGAGGTCGAGACAGAAAGATCATCATGACTGATCTGAGATCACCTGAGAAGAGAGTTTTGATTTGTGAAGAAACTGCTCCAGTTCTAAAAGTGAGGCCTTTGTTCAATATTAGAGACCTACATGTCATTATTCAGTACTAAAGGCCTCTTACAAAAGTAGTCATTAAACAATATTTTAATCTTTTGAAAAACTAATATCATTATTCAGTATTAAAGGCTTCTGAAAACTGACATTATTCAGTAATAACAGGCTACTGATAAAACTGTCATTATTCAGTATTAACCCTGTTGTCATGGGTATTCTTTACTGTACATTCAAAATCTTATTAAACTACTTTATGTTATACCAATTGGAATATCATAAAATCTTAGCTAATAATCCAAATTTTAATAGTATACAAGTTTTAATTTCTTAATTCTACAAGGCAATATTTAAAAATATCATGGATTTCCACTAGTGTGACCCACGTGACACATTTTCTCTTAGCATGTCATCATCCCTATTTTATTTACCACCCCTTGAAAAAGTATGAAATTCGTTATTACTCAGACAAACCATAATTTTTATAGCCTTCAATTTTGTTTTGTTACAGAGCTATCGATTAGAAAATCAGACCCCTCTTGCCACACCCACCTGTCGCATCCTCTCTTTCAGATTTCGTTGATAGTTCTTTCTTACATTTCATCATATATTACCTATAACCATATATTACCTATAACCAATAGAAAGGCAAGGTTTTTATCTATCAAATGATGTATTGGGTAACATTATGTTCTGACCAGGTAAGATGTCAGTTTCACTCAGAGTACCAACATCATTCTCATGAGAAAGTTAATGACTAGCTTGGATGAATTTGTAACAGTTCTTGTCACATAGCTAGAAAGCCAGGAAAATTTTGAGAGGTAAGTGAATTTGTCTACTTTTTGAATGTTATTAGTCTATATTCTTTGGTGCATTATATAATTAAATAAAAATTATTACGTGCATTACTAACTATGGTATAAAAAATTAAGGTTAACTCTCTTTGAAAACCAAGAGCAAGAAAAAGAAGATTGGTTAAGTATTTTATTTCTTGTATTTCATGTTTATTCTTTATGTATAATTATAAAAGTAACTAAAATGTAAAAATAGGGATCCTTTTAGGTTTGTTAAGATTAGATTAAATAAAATGAATAATAATAATAATAATATTATAATAAAAATGTTTCACAAGGCACATAGACAACCAGCTCTTGGGTAATGTAATACCTCAACATAACGTGAGCTGCACGTTTCCCGAAGGATTTACAACTTATAATGGCATGAACAGTAGTTAGACACAGCTCAAACGGCAATAAAACAATAAAATTTAATTATAAATAGATGTATAATGTTACGAACTTAGAGCTACTTAGGATAAACAAATATAGTTTCATGTTACAATATGAAGTCATTCTAGAAAGAAAAAATGGTAATATATGTTTATTTCGATTTTTTATTTATTTTTTTTGGTTGTTACGCAGTCAGTTGAATTGACCGATCTGGTTTTCAGATAGGGTAGAGAAAATAACAGATAAACTATAAAGTGTTACTGATAAAAAACGGTTGAAATGCATTTAGGAGGTTTTAAGGATTACACAAAGGAAATTTGAGAATTTTGAGATGAGGAAAAGTGTTTTTAATTGTAACATGAAAATTACTTTGCACATGGACTATTCAAAACAAATACTCAAAATATTCATGGACAAATTTGTATTTTATTTTATTAAAAATACTTCACAAAAATATGATTTTTTGTATTTGAAAGACTGACAAATGTTGTGAAGATGTACACACTATATTGGAAGCTAGAAGTATTAAATCTATAAAGACTTTAAACAAATACAAAGAGGTCACGTGGTCGGTCAGATTGAGAGAGTTAAAGTCTTTATACAGGGAGTCATTATTCAGTATTAAAGGCTTCTAACAAAACTGTGTCATTATTCAATATTATAGGGTACTGACAAAACCATGTGTCATTCTATAACGTTTTGAGTGAAAGGATAGAAGAATATTTAATATTATTTCAACACTAATATTTATACAATATCTTAGTGCCAATGAAACCTTTTGCACAACACCAGGATTTATCACACTTGTTGGGATATAACAGACATGGTAGTAGTCTAAGTGCTATTTACATCATCTTTTTCATGAACACCAAATGTTTGGTATGAATTAGCTTAAGTATGCAAATTTTAGTTATTATAAATTTTACTGAAGTTATTTACAAATCAAAGTTAAGGTAATTATTAATAACATAATACAGTTTATTTATTCAGTATTACAGGCAAGTGACAAAATTGCATGTTGTTATTGAATATTATTGGCTTCTGACAAAACATCATGTCATTATTCAATGTTACAGAGCTTCTCGGAACACTACATGTCATTACTTAATATTACAAACTTCAGAAAAAAATGTTATTCAGTATGACAATGCTACTGACAAAATTGTCATTATTTAATATTACAATGCTTCTACAGAATTTGTTATTCAATATTACTGGCTGATGACTAAATTATATGTCATTATTTCGTGTCAAAATGTTACTGATGAAACTGTATGTCATTATTTGGTGTCCAAATGTTACTGACAAAACTATATGTCATTATTTATAATTACAATGGTTCTGACAAAAGTACAAGTCATTATTCAATACTAAATGTTTCTGACAAAACTAAATGTCATTATTTAATATTACAATGCTACTGGCAAAACTGCATGTCGCTATTCAATATCATAGTGTTTATGAGAATTATTTGTCATTATTCAGTGTTAACTCTTTCTCTATGGGCTCGGTCCCAGGAACCTACCTTGTAAGCACTTTGTGCTATAACTTTTAACACAATATGCATGTTTTCACGAAATTGTGCAGATTATCAGTAAACATTAAAAGGCTTTCATATGCAAATTATCAGATTTTTTTTTATTAAGTGTTAAGATTTTTAAGTAATGTTTTTCTCATGCATTTTTTCGTTTCAAATGTTGACTATTCAACATGCAAAGTAATTTTGATTTTAAGATTAGAAATTCTTTTATGCATCAGAAAATTTTCAGATTTCACATGCAAAATCTTTATAACATCCAAATAATTATCAAACGTTTTTCTAGAAATTGTTTTTTTTTATATTTTATCTGTTATTCTCACTATTGTGTGTCTGTATGGGTTTGGTTGACTTGACTGACCATGTAACCACCATAAAGAATTAAGAAATAGATATAAATTATGCTTTTTTCATTCTAGAATGACTACAAATTATAACTCAAACACAGATGTTTAGTCTAAGTAGCTTAAATCTCATAACCTTATATATATTTATTAGTTTTATTTTATTGACCTTTCAGCCGTGCCTGACTAACATTACAGAAGTGTTGCAATGACATCGCACACATGCACTTATGTTACCTTATCCAAGAATATAAAACTGACCTTTACAAAGTGGCCTGTCTTGGCTGTATTCTGTATATATATATATATATATATTAATAATATTCATAAATAAGTTCTTAAATTTCAGTTATTTTTCTTAAAACATTTGTTTATTTGAAGTTAAGCACAAAATTCTTAAAACATAGAACAGTAAATAAAGAAGTATAGAAAACAATTATCTTTTCTAGTTACAAACTTTGTACTCATTTGCTACTTGCCATAAGTTGCTAAGCCTTATCAACTTTTGCATGTGGAGGATGCAAAACATAATAATATTTTAAGGCTTCATATATGCATTTTGAAATTTAAAAATTCATAAATTACTATATCAATACTACATAAATTGCACTATAATTTATCAAGCTTAGTAATTAAGCTGCATTTGGGTCTAAAAAAATATGATTTTTTGAGGTCATTAATGTCTTACCTTACTGTTTGGAATCTGACATGAAAAGAAAGAGTGTCCCATGCAAATACTTTGCAAAGGCTGAGAAAACCACTAAGGGGACATTCTGAGCTTTTGATTGGTTATACACACGTCATTAGGTGAAGTAGATATACATAAGCAAGTATTTTCAAAAATGGAAGAGGTTTCCCTGGTTGATTCAATCAATATATTAATATCTCAGAAAATAGAAAAGATGGGAAGTTCTTATCTTATATCTTGTCAATATTGGTAATTTAAGTATCTAGTTCATAAGAAAATATATATTCTGTATTTGGACATCACAAACATCTAATTTGAACCAATGCTTTATTCAAACTACCACATGACACACGAAAATCGATATTTAGGATTTGTTTTTAATTTTTACTTTTAAATTAAGAAATTAACTAATATATAATACTAAAATTTGATTTATCTACAATTTGATACCAAACTTATTGACATAAATTCATAAAATAGTATTTCAATAAAATTTGAATGTGAGTCTACAAATGCAATGACATGGCCTTTGACCCATGACCATAGGAAGACCCATCTCGGTAGGGTTAATAGCCTTTGACTAAACTGTGTCATTATTCAATATTGCAGGCTACTGATAAAACTTTGTCATTATTCAATATTACAATGGGTCTCCCAGTGTCCTAGCAGTAGGTCTGAAGGTTTATAATGCTAATAATTAAGTTTCAATACCCATGGTAGGCTTGACACTAATAGCCTATTGTAAAGATTTGTGCTTAACAACAAACAAGCAAACAATCAGTGTTATATATAGATTCATGAGATAAGTTAAGTAGTTCAGGATATTAATGGCTACATTGCAAGTATAAATCTTGCCAACGTGGAAATAGAAAATATATTTTTATACTCAGTCGTTACTTTGGTTTAGGTAGAAGAATAAGCTATGGTCATTTTGATACACATATTTTGGAGAAATGCTAAGAAATTTCTAAATTTATGGATTTTTTAATTTCATAATATTTCCTCATCTTTATACAAAATATTTTATAATCTTGCAGTTACATAGATATTGCAGAACTTGTAATAAACTAGAATATTTTATAATCTTGCAGTTACGTAAATATTCTAGAACTTGTAATAAACTGGAATATTATATATCTAGTATAGACCTTTAGTTATAAGGCATAAGCACAGTAGTTTTCAGCAATATTATATTCTTCATAATTTGCTTTATTGATGTCTAGTTATTAACTTCACAATCTTGTCAACCTTTCTTTAACAGCCTTACATAATGTCTGAAGGAGTAAGAATGTAATTAATAAAATTATTTAAATCTAGTTAAAGATAAAAATATATATATAAAGAATAATAATTAAGTTTGATTTGACAGATGATCTTGATGCCTGGTCATTCTTCCCTGTGGGTTGCTACCACAGACTCCAGTATTAAAAACTGGGTAAGCTTCATTTTGTTATTTTTCAGAATTTTTTTGCTTTTCTTAATTCACAATTCTACATATTTTGTACTTGAAAAGTTTGTTACAGTATTTTTATGTTTTACAATTTTGAAAATATTTGTATTTTATTTTTACATTTGTTTTTAAGTTCCCATTTTATAGTGTTTAGCAATGTTTGGTGCAAAGTTAAATATTCATATTTTGTTTTTTCTATAGCCAATCAATAACAGAATTTCTCAGCTGGATGAATATGACTTAGACTTACTTCCACCTTTAAACACGCATCCAGAAACTATGATCAAAGGTATGTGAAGTTCCAGCAAATTAGTTTTCCCTATAACTGAAAATGTTTTATTTTTTTAATAATAAAAATATTTAGGATAACTTTAGGATATCGTAGAAAACAAATTAACTACAGATGTGGTTATATTGTAGCTCATCAGTCTGTGTGTGTAAGAGAGCTTTAACTGAGGCTCATACTATTCAGCCGAGTTTGTGACCCCAAATTGAACTTTAGAGTTTCTATACTATACCTTTTAATATGTTTTGTGTATCTTCACCAAATATTGCTTCAAGTACAAAGTTATTTCCATGCCAAGATTAAAAATACTTCATTTAAAAATTATTAAATTTCATTTGCATAATCTCTAAAATCTCTTAAATTAACATCCACCATTTTTTTCATTAATATTTTATCTTTTATTTTTTCAACCATAACTCTATATGCATTCAGTCAAACTGACTGACCTTGTAACCATAAAAAAAAGTGAAATATATTTAAATTACTCTCTTTTTCCTTCTAGAATGACTGCAAATTATAACAGGAAACTACAGTTATTTATCCTAAATAGCTTGAAGCTCATAACAGTATACATATGTTTCTATTTAAAGTTTATTGTTTTATTGCCCTTTGAACTGTGTATACCTAATAATCCTACCTCACGAGTTGTAAATCACTCATTGAACATATAGCTCATGCTACTGTATTGAATTATGTAACACTTACTACTCACAAGCATACCTCGTGAAGAATTTTTATTTTGTTCTTTCTTTGTCATACCTAATACAACTTAATAAATTTCTAATTTTTACATTTTAGTTACTTTTATAATAATAAATAAGCAATGCATATGAAAACGATATATAATACTTACCTGTGTTGTTTTTTTGCTGTCGGCTGTTGATGATACTTAAGCTTACTTTTTTATTTTAATGGTACTACTAACTTAAGTACTTTTTTATTTAATTAAATAATGCACTTAAGAACACGGAAGGATAAAACAGAAAATGCAGACAGTGTCCAATAACTATCATAACTTTTCTGGCTTTCTAACTATGCAATTAGAGCCTTTAAAAATTCATCTAAGCTAGTCAATGTGATTCCAGTGAGAACAACTTTTAAACTGAATAATGAAATAGATAATTCTCTATACAGTAAAAAAATGTAATGTAATAGTCATTTGATAGATTAAAACTTTGGCTTTCTATTGGTTTTAAATAATACAGTATAAAGTGTAAAAGAGAGCTATTAACAATTTATGAAAGTGAGGATGTGACAGGTTGGCAAAGCAAATGGGTCTAATTTTCTAGTGCATGGCTCCATAAACACGTAAGATTGAAGTCTATAAAGTTGTGCTCTGCTTGAGTAATATCTATATTATATTGAGTAATTTGTGTTACATTCTGTACTTCTAGGAGGGATGGTAAATAAATTAGAGAAGAGAGAAGACCTAGAGAGCAAATGTTGCAATTCTCATACTAGGGGAGATTCAGGATTTTTAAGATATTGCTTCATAAAATTAAGAATTTAAAATTTATATAATATTAATAACCCTATCTGCCTGGGCATCATTTACTGCATGTCATGAAGTTTTAGTGACTTACATTCAAAATTTTATTAAACTACTTTTTATTTGTGTTACACCAATTAGTATAGCATAAATTCTTAGCTAGTAATCCATATTTCAATAGTCTATAACTTCTTAGCTAGTAATCCATATTTCAATAGTCTATAACTTCTAAGTTCTTAATTTTATAAGGCAATATTTTAAAAAATCCTGAATTTCCCCGTGTGTGACACGTGACACCCTTCCTCAAAGCATCTCCTCTTCTCTATTTTATTCCCCACCCCTCCAATAAGTACAAAATCAACATTGCTCATAATTTTTACAGCCTTCAATTTTGTTTGGTTACACAGCCATCAAATAAAAAATCAGACCTCTTTTGCTACACCCACCTGTCGCATCTTCATTTTTGAGATTTGTTAATAGTTCTCTCTTACATTTAATTCTATATTATCTATAACCAATAGAAAGCCATGGTCTTCATCTATCAAATGGTGTATTATATTACGTTTTTTCTTAACAGAGAATTGTCAGTTTCTCTGTTAGTACAACCTTCATTTCCACGGGAAATATAATGAATAGCTTGTATGAATTTGTAATGGTTCTTGTTGCATAGTTAGAAAGCCAGAAGAATTGTGATAGTTAGAGGAACTGTCTGCTTTTTGCATGTTATTATTCTATGTTTTTTGGTGCATTATTTAATTAAATAAAAATTATTTAGTGCATTACTACCATTAGTATAAAAAAGTAGGGTTAAGTGTCAGCAACAGTCAACAGCAAAAAACAATTAATACTCAGGTAAGTACTTTATTTCTTGTTTTTCATGTTTATTCTTTATTTATTATAGAAGTTACTAAAATGTAAAAATAGGTATCTCTTTAGGTTAGTTAAGATTAAACTAGGTAAAATAAATAACAATAATGCATTTCAAACGTTTTTTTTCAATAAAACTTTATAGTTTATCTGTCATTTTCTCTACCCTATCGCAAAATGGGATCAGTCAATTTGACCAACCTTGTAACCGAAAAAAAAAAAAATTTGAAATAAACCTACATTACCCTTTTTATTTATTTCTAAAATGACTTCATATTGTAACATGAAACTACATTCGTTTATCCTAAGTAGCTCTAAGTTCATAACAGTATACAGCTATTTATACTTAAATTTTATTGTTTTATTTCCCTTTGAACTGTGACCAACTAATATCCATGCCATTATAAGTTGTAAATTTCTCGGGTAACGTGCAGTTCACATTAGGCAGAGGAATTACATTACCCACAAGCTGGTTGTTTGCGTGCCTCATTTAAACATTTTTATTATAATGTTATTATTATTTATTTTATCTAATCTAATCTTAACAAACCTAAAAGAGTCCCTATTTTTACATTTTAGTTACTTTTATAATTATACATAAAGAATAAACATGAAATACAAGAAATAAAATACTTGACCAATCTTCTTTTTTTTGCTCTTGGTTTTCGAAGAGAGTTAACCTTAATTTTTTATACCATAGTTAGTAATGCACGTAATAATTTTTATTTAATTATATAATACACCAAAGAATATAGACTAATAATATGCAAAAAGTAGACAAATTCACTTTCCTCTCAAAATTTTCCTGGCTTTCTAACTATGAGAAAAGAACCATTACAAATTCATCTAAGCTAGTCATTAACTTTCCCATGGGAGCAATATTGGTACTCTGAGTGAAATTAACAATTACCCGTTCTGAACATAATACATTATTTGATAGATGAAAACCTTGACTTTCTATTGGTTATAAGTAATATATAATGAAACATAAGAGAGAACTATCAATGAATTCTGAAAGAGAGGATGTGACAGGTGGGTGTGGCAGGAGTGGTCTGATTTTCTATTTGATAGCTAAAGACTATAAAAATTATGGTTTGTCTGAGCAATAATGATTTTATAGAGAGTAATTTACGTTTAATTTCGTACATTTTTGAGGAGTGATGGATAAAATAGGAATGATAACATGCTAAGATAAAATGTGTCACGTGGGTCACTAGTGGAAATCCAGGATTTTTTTAAATATTGCCTTTTAGAATTAAGAAATTAAAACGTGTATACTATTAAAATATGGATTA